ATTTAATCTAATTTCTTTGATATTATTTTGTCCATGAAATGATACTATAATTAAACCTATATTTCCAAAAAATCCTTTACCAAAAACGCACCAACAAATATACTTGATGTTAACAACCTTATCTTCAAAATAAAAAAATAAAAAAAATAAAATAAATAAAAATCATAAACAATATAAATAAATAAATAATAATCATAATATAAATAATAAAAATCCAGTTGTAATATTGGGTAAAAACAAAGGGTAGAGCCAAAATGAATAGTCCCTACACTCTACTTCCTACTGGTGTACTTAAAAATCTTTTTAAAAGTCAGTAATTCACTCCTTTAGCGTTGCTTAAGGGTCGTTGGCTCTTACCACTTTCATGATCACCTTTAAATCTTCCTATTATTAATATAAATATATATCATTTTCTTTGCTAAACCTTACCTTATGATTAAAATATTCCTTAGATTATACTTGTACCATTTCCTATCTTCTTGTTTATCTTTAAAATTCTCCCTATTTTCCGTCTTCATATCTTTTATGAGGTTTTACCTACAACTCTGTTTTCTTGTTTTATCTATTATTATAAATTATACACATACCTTTGAAAATTTATAAATTCATCTTGTGTTTTCTCAAACTTGTGTGTTAGAATAGTTAACTAAATTTATACATGTATAGATTTTGTTAGGATATCTAGATGTTTCCAAGCTTGGAATTAGTTTATTGCAGAGAATATAGTCTCTATGTCCCACTAATTACTCCTATTCCACCAAAATTCTTTCACATACAAAAATTGGTCAAATAAGATGGTTTAAGTAGGACAGATGAAGTAAGGAAAATGAAAAAAAAAATATTGTTATATTGAATGATATAACCTAATTACTATACTAAGTCTAAAAGCACTAAATGTATGCATGAAAATTTTAAGATCATGTTTGCAACTTCAAATTAATATTAAAGGCGTTTTATAAACAGTTGTATGTATTAAGTGTAAATCAAGAATATAAAGTACGGAGTAATACATATGTATCTATAAATACTATACTATGAGTATAAATAAACAAAATTAACAGGATGTAGTTTAGATAATTGAAACTGAACAAATAAGACGGGATGAGTCACTTTGTCTCTTGATTAAAATCGAAAGCAAATGAAATTCTAAATTTAATTATGTACTTTACTAAGAATATAATTAACCGGATATATATATATATATATATATTAAAAAAAAACTAATTTAAAAAGAGATAATGGAGTACATATTAAGAATAACTAACTATACATTGATTATATTGATCTATGTATGTTTATCTCATGAGTTTCTAAATTTATACCAATTTAGAATAAGCATTTAATACTTATACGTGACCTTAATTTTCACGGCTAATTATTTTATTTATTTAGATTCTTGTGAAGAGTAAAATTAAAAACACTTAAAATTTGGCCATTTATATCTTAGAATTCCTTTAAAGCAAAAAAATATATTACACTCTCTGGTTTTTTTTTGTTTGTGTCCCTCTCTTCCAATTGGAAAGTTTCTAATTAGGAGGAATCTTTCTACTAATAAAATATACTCTGGACATAAACCTTATTGTAATTTTAAGTGGATAAAAAAAAAATTACATTTTATCACCCAAAAAAATATTTAATTCTACATTTTACCACCTCCTAAAAAATTATGTCCATAAATTCGTTGATTGGGCTTATCTAATGATTTTTTTCCCCCTATTTTTCCCACAATTCTGATACCACTGAAATCACTCATCTTCAAAATTAACTAAAAATGAAACATACACATTCGACAAGTCTTGTGATGGCATGACCATATTTGTTTATATGAATAATATTTATTTATATATTCATTCATAAGGACCTTATTTTATCCATACGAGTAACCTTAATTCATTTTACAAGTAACAACAATTAACTACAAAAAAAATAACTCCATCCATATATTTACTTGAATAACTTTTTTTTTTTTTTTAATTACTCCCTTAGTTTTTTTTTCAATTGTTACACTTATCACAAATGCGGTTGTTATTCACTGTAGCCCCTATTAAACAATAAACTTGTAATATATATCACACATAATAAGAATTTGTTAATGTTAAATACGGGTCTGAGTCGCATCCGTCACGGAAGAGTGTAAGTCCACCACTTTACAAGACCAAGGAGGTTCCACCTCAAAACCATATGGTAACGAAGGAAGTAGCTCCTTAGTCTTATATAGTGGTGATAACTCTTGAATTCTTTCAATATGTGATTCTATTACCATTACACTCCCTCTCTTTAGTCTTTTAGTGTGGGACAAGAGAATGCTCACATATGAGTTGTTCATGGGCTCAACAGTTAAAATCAAATTTAATCAAAGAAAGGAAAAATTAGAAAATAACACCACAAAAAAGCCACGATTTTGATAATAACACCACATAAAAAAAAAGTTTTGATTATAACACCTCCAAAAATCTCAAAAAATTGATTTCACCACCGCATAGAGGATGCCGTCAAAAAAACCGTTTGTGGACCCACCAAATACACGTGTCACTTATATATTGGTTAAAAAAATTATAAAAAAAAAAAAAAAAACTAAATCCTAAGCCCAGCCACGAAGCTCACCACCGGTAGCCCCTACATCCCACCGCCGGCACTACCCCCCACTGCCGCCAAGCCACACCAGTGTCCACCCAGCCACCCCCACCCTCCTTAACCAACCCCGAAAATCCCTATAGACCATCAAACGCAGCGGTTGAGACCCTAGCTCGCAACTCCATAAACCCTAGCCACCACAAAAATGGCGACTAGTGGTTGAAATCGGCCAAGTTAGGGCCTGAGTGGTCAAATTCGACCCTAAATTGGCCGATCTCGACCACTAGTTGCTAATTTTGTTGTGAAATGGAAGAAAAATGGTGGTGGTTGTCGGTTTTGAGTGGAAAAATGAGGTGGTTGCGGGGGTTGTTCGGTGTAAATTTTGTGGTTTTCGGTTGCTGGAGGGGTGTCGGAAGTGGTTCAAGGGGTGTCGCAGGGGGTTTTCGGTGGCTGGAGGGGTGTCGGAAGTGGTGTAAGGGATGGGAATTCGTTGTGTATGGTGGCGGAGGTGATGGTTGCGGGGGTTTTTCGATGCGAATAACGTGGTTGATGATGGGGCAAGGCCGAGCTGGGGCAGGGGTTTGTGGTTTCGCCGGTTTTGGTAGGGCAGGGGTATCGACGGCTTGGGTTAGGCTGTCGGCGGTGGTGGACAGGTTGTGCCAGTGGTGGGGTTGGGCTGGGTTTGGTTGTTGAGGGTTTTTTCTTTTTTTTTTTTTAAATTAATTTTTTGTTAAACCAATAGGATAGTGACACGTGTCTGTTATGGGCCCACTAACGGATTCCATCCAAAAATCCGTTAAGTGGTGGTGAAATCAATTTTTTGGTTTTTTTTGTGGTGTTATAATAAAAGTTTTTTTTTTAATGGTGTTATTATCAAAATTTGTATTTTTTGGTGGTGTTATTTTCTAAAATTTCCTCAAAGAAATTGTAATTTATTTATTTATTTATTTATTTATTTATTTATTTATTTTTACAAGAAAGAAATTGTAATTTTGAATATACTAATGATAGATATACTCATATACACGTGTACCAAATTTTATGACATAACTTTTAGAATATTTCTGATAGAATTTTTGTTTAGGTGTAAAAACTAGATTAGCTACCTAGATAAGGATAACAAATCACAGTAATTTCTAACAATGAAAGGGAAATAAATCATAGTGGGAACTAAATTTACAATAACTAGAGACAGCACAACGATTATACCTTACAATGATCTGATCTTACCCTACATAACAAAATCTCATATAAATTTACTTAGGTAATTAACTAAGATTTAAAAGAATACTCTATATATTTCATAATAATGGATTAGAGTCAAAATTATTACATTTGAAACTCATATCAATTATCTTAGATAACTGAGATAAGATTACTCTATCTATTTCATAATAATGGATAGAGTCAAAATAATTACATGTGTTAATGTAAGAGTTTGACAATCTACAATTAAACCTTACTATAATAAAAATTACTAAGGTCATATTCAAGTTTATCAAACAAAAGTGAAAAAGGTTTTTTTTTTTTTTTTTTTTTTTTTTGAGAAGTGAAAAAGGTTAAAATGTGGCAATTATTATAAAATAGGGGGACTATCATCAAACAAAGTCTTGTGATTGTAAACTCAATGATAAAATAAATACTCCCTCGATTTTTTTTAAGTGTATCATTTCTCCTGACACACATATTGATGCAAAAATTTGATTAATAATATCTTTAATTATCAATAAGTAATAATTAACCCGATTACTATTCATTAAGATGGTTCCAATAAGTATCCACATAATTATATTTTATTTCTTATATGGCAAAGCTAATGAGCGCCCCCGGGACATTAGATAAGAGAATTAAATTGCAAATATTAGAGTAAAATTAACATTAATTACACCGAACGACGTGTGATTTTGTCAAGAATTCCTAATTTAATACCATTTCAACCAATATAATTTATCCATATGTAACGCCCCGGGGCGCTCGTTAGCAAGATCCTTCTTAAATCAGTAACATTAGTCAAAATGAATTCCATAAATAGTGCAAAAAGTCAAAACATTACACTTTAATTAGAAAACGGAGAGAGTATATTATTGTAGTTTTTTTTTTTTTTTGAAAGCATATTATTGTAGTTAAGCTAATACCAGTACAAAGTAGTTTCTACTAATTGTTTAATCAAATAAATATAGTAATTAAAATAATGAATAGAATAATGATAGTCAACCAATAGCTCTTAAATGAGCTCTATAACTATTCAAAAAAAAAAGCTCTATAAGCTCAAGAAGTGACACGTGCAATTTCTCTCTCTAAGTTTTCTCTCTCTAGAAAGAGAGATGACATGAGCTGGAGGGAGAATCCGTGTGTGGAATTCGAGCTGTAATTGAAAGACTCATTCACCTCTTCTTCCTTTCTTTCGTTCCCTATAAATACACCTAAACATCTTCACAATTTCATCGCAAACTTATTTTTTTTGTCTCAAAACATTACTACTAGTAATTAACTTACTACTACTTACTAGTTAATTTTTATCATTATCATTATCATTCTTATTCATTAATATTCTTATTCTTATTCATTCTTTCTCTTATAATTATAAATAACAAAACTCACTACAGCATCATACAATACAAACGTATAAAAATGGTGATCATTTTGGTGGCATTTGTTACATTAGGTGCAATTTTGATCCTCAATTATGCCCTGAAATCCCCTGTTTTCGCCTTCTCCGGTCGCCGATTTCCTAAACTATCCCTTCCTCCGGGTACCTTAGGATGGCCTTACATAGGCGAAACTTTCCAACTCTACTCACAAAACCCAAATGTCTTCTTTGCAGACAAAGTTAAAAAGTCAGTCATTTTTTCATCTTTTTTGTGTGTTATCTATCATTTTTTAGGCAGTATCTTAATTTTCGAGTTATAATTAAGTGCTAAACTTCTCTATTTTAATTTTGTTATAGGTATGGTTCCGTTTTTAAGACACACATATTGGGATGTCCATGTGTGATGATTTCTAGCCCGGATGCAGCTAAATTTGTTCTTTCAACTCGATCAAATTTGTTCAAACCAACATTTCCTGCTAGTAAAGAAAGGATGTTGGGTAAACAAGCTATCTTTTTCCACCAAGGTGATTACCATGCCAAACTTAGGAAGCTTGTTCTTCAATCCTTCATGCCTGGGGCTATCAGAAGCTTTGTTCCTGATATCGACTCGATTGCTTCACAATCCCTTAAGTCTCTTGAAGGATCCTTCATTAACACCTTCCAAGAGATGAAAACCGTAAGTTTCACCCAGAAATAATAAAAATAAAAATGTGCGGATTTAGTCGTCACATTACAGAAAAGTTCAGAATACATTCTGAACACGACATTTACTGGTTCAGATTGTATTCTGAACGTCACAACTAATTCCGGACAGTAATCATTTAAGGATTATTTTGTATTTATGTAAATTGGGATAATTTTTATTTTTTTTTTAAATTTTTGTTGTTTGCAGTACACATTCAATGTGGCTCTGTTGTCAATATTTGGAAAGGATGAGGTGAACTACAGAGAAGATCTAAAGAGGTGTTACTACATATTAGAAAAAGGGTATAATTCAATGCCAATCAATTTACCAGGAACACTTTTCAATAAATCCATGAAAGCTAGGAAAGAATTGGCCCAAATATTGGCCCAAATCATATCAACTAGAAGAGAGATGAAAAAGGACCACCAAGACTTGCTATCCTCCTTTATGGGTGACAAAGAATCCCTCACCGACGAACAAATTGCTGACAACGTCATTGGTGTCATTTTTGCCGCGAGAGACACTACCGCGAGTGTCCTTACTTGGATCCTTAAGTACCTCGCGGACAACTCCTCCGTACTTCAAGCTGTCACGGTATATACACACATACACACTGATTATTTCAACGTATTTCCAAATCAATCATATATATAATTTTATCGACTGGTAGTTCTCTTATACGACACTGTAATTAAACAGTCGTCGAGTAAGAGGACTACATACATGGTCGTAATTGATCTTATCTAACAAAATAGGAACCATTAAAAGTTTTCCAAATGTTAAGGTTATGTGGGGCTAATAAAAAGATTTGTGGAATGGTGACATTTTTTTCAGGAAGAACAAGAAGCAATAATTAAAGAAAAAAAGGAAAGTGGTGAAGAAAAGGTACTTTGTTGGGCAGATACCAAGAAAATGCCCTTAACAATAAGGGTATTCCAAGAAACATTAAGGGTAGCATCAATTTTATCCTTCACTTTTAGGGAAGCTGTTGAAGATGTTGAGTATGAAGGTCAGTATTTTTGTTTCCCTACCCTAATTAGTTTTCCCACTTTTTTCTCTCTCTAAATCTATATTTGTTTTTCTCTCTCTAACAAATTTTTTTTTTTTTTTTGGATTATAGGGTACCTAATTCCTAAAGGGTGGAAAGTACTCCCATTATTCAGGAATATTCACCATAGTCCTGAAAATTTCCCTGAGCCTGAGAAGTTTGACCCTTCTAGATTTGAGGTAATTATCAAAAGTTTTTCTCTTTTTATTTTTACCTTTTCTAAATTAAATAATTTATCGGACATACTAGAAATAAATTCCTTACTATATTAAGGGTATATTTCACCAACCTTTTTAAAGGTCCATCTTTTTACATTAAGTTTACCTTTTAAATCAACTCAATATATTACTTAATTCGGCGTTAAATTTTCATAATAATCTCAAACTCGACGTATGATAAAAGGTTATTTGAAATAAAATAAGTATTTTCAATATCATACACTTTGTATTTGAATTTTAGCAAGTTGGTTGACCAATCTTGCTAATAAGTTTACTCATGATTTTCATGATCTACCTATGTTGCATATCTTCATATTTTCATGAACTTAAATTTAATACAATCAAGTCAAATCAAGATTTTGTACTCAAAGTGTCATTTTTATTTTCTACAGGTGGCACAAAAACCCAATACATTCTTGCCATTTGGCAGTGGGATCCACTCATGTCCTGGCAATGAACTGGCAAAGCTAGAGATTCTTGTTATGTTACATCACATAACCACAAAGTACAGGTACATTTTTATCACTATTATCTAACTTTGAAAAAAAAAAATTACATGAAAAAAATAAAATAAATGATTAGTTTCTATAAATAGTGTATTTAATGTTAGTTAAATAGTTGTGATATTTTTCTGATCATGGGTTTTATTTTTTTGCAGATGGTCTATCATTGGCCCACAAAACGAAATTCAGTATGGCCCATTTGCACTTCCCCAGAATGGTCTTCCCATTAAATTATCCCTCAAAAGTCAAGATTAAGAGTCCTAAAATTGGGATCTTATTATGATCAAGAGGATAACAAAATTAAATGATATTGGATTTGAGATGAGGAAAATACTCTTTATTCATATCCAAAGTGTTTTCGAAGTCCGGAAAAATAACGAGTAAAGTAGAGCTGATAACTCAATCAAACGGATTGGATCGTGTTCTTTATTTTATGGTTTGAAATGAACGAAAGAGATCAAGATAGGAACCAACCTTCAAGGAAATAAATAGTAAATGGGAAATAAGAAGAGAGGAGCCACAGCAATTGTACAAAAGGTTCTCCTCGTAGCAACAAATTTTGAAAGGAACTTTCTTAGTTTCAAGCTATAGTAGGTTAATAGTAGTCATAATATTTTTTATTGTTTCTTTGTTTTACCCCTAATTATTTTTAGACTTTAATTCTTTGCTAAGGGTAGGAAAAAAAAACAAGAAGTCCGTAAGGAATAATTCTTGAAAAATTGTAAATTTAGATTAGATCGTGATGATCAGGGTTAGTATGATTTTTACAAGATGCCGCAAGGCAAGTGAATGAGAATTCTATTTGACAATAAATTTCTTACCTTTGCATGTTGGTAGAATGGCTATAAGCCTATAAGTTTCATGATTACATAATTTCATCAAAAAAATATATATATAAATAAATAAATAAATAAATAAATAATTCAACCACACTATAGGTCTGTTCTTATACGATTATTTTCAGTTCATTTCAGCTTTAATAAGTTCAGTTCAACTCTAATAAGTTCAGTTCAGTTCAATTCAACTAGGGGTGAAAGTTCGGTATTCGGTTTGGATTTTGAACCAAACCGAATTAATTCGGTTTTGAAATTTTCAAACCGAATTAATTCGGTTTTGAAATTTTCAAACCGAATCCAAACCGAACTAGATTTGAAACCTATCCAATCCAAACCGAAATTTAAAAACCTAATTCGGTTCCAAACCGAAAATCGAACTTTTAAGGAGATTTTTTCAGATTGTTGAAGAAAAATATTTTTTTAAAAAAATAGTCAAATTTACAATGAATAGATCTAAAAAAATAATAATAATAAAAAGAAGTAATACACTAACACAACTATAATAATTTTATAAATTGTATTGATTACAAGACTAACATCTACAACTATAGATTATATAAAAGGATAATTAAAAAAATCAAGGATAACCCAGAAAATTTATGGTGGTGGTGATTGATGAGCGACGATGAACACAAGCGGCGACGAACACGAATAACGGTGGAATAAGGTGACAAATCGTGACTGAAGGAGTGATGGAGGTGGTGACCGGACTGAGGAAGGTGGTATCGTGGTGATGACAAACACCGGAACACAAGTTGCTTTTAGAAATCGTGACTAGATCGAGGGAGCACAAACACGAACTGTCGAACTGATGAAGGTGGTTGTGAGATACGTACTGAGGAAGGTAGTTGTCGGAGTTAGTGAGGAGGTGGCCGGAGTGAGTGAGGTGTTGAGAGAGGAATGGAGGATTAGGGTTTTGGTGAGGAATAGTGGAAGGCCGCTGAAATGAGAACTGAGAAGAGTGAAAGAAGGGAAGTAAAAAATTAGGGTTTTGCTTTATATATGTAGGGGATATCCGAATATATGGGCTGAGAATCTTTGGGCTTTAAAACTTCGGTTTGGATTTCGGTTTTCGGTTTTTGAAAGCCCCAAACCGAATCCAAACCGAAATATTTCGGTTTCAATTTTTTGAAACCGATCCAAACCGAAAACCGAAAAAAACCAAACCGAATTTCTAATTCGGTTTGGTTTGGTTCGGTTTTCGGTTTTTGTCCATATCACTTTCACCCCTAAATTCAACTCCTAATCTCCTTCTCTTATAAAATATTCATTTCAGTTCAGTTCAACTCTAATAAGTTCAATCCAGCTTTGTTCAGTCAATGAGAACAGGCCCTACATATGTGATTTAATATTATTAAGTAATACGCCTATTTGACCAAAAAAATCACTACACTAACTTGCCTTGTGGATACTTCAACTTTTACCAATAAAAAATTAGAACTTTTTACTATGTATTACTAATTTATATGGAGTTAAGATAAAAAAATAGGGTCCAACTTTTTGATAAATATTGTATTTGGGGTCCAACTTTTTTTTTTTTTTTTTTACTTTGTTTTTGGGATCTAGGTTAGAAATTCTAGTGAGTTAACCTTAGTTTAACTCACCGTTAACCTTAGATAAAGAAGTTACTCTTGTAAAAAAGTTAGACCCCTTATCTAATAAATTTATACCCTTAATGCATTTAATTATAGAAATAAGTAATAAATTTTATACAAAAATTCCAAATTAATAATAAAAGTTATTACAATGTGGAATACATATACCACTTTTTCAAATTAATTTGGTTCTCTAAATTACTATGAATAATTTAGACGATTTTAAGATTTTTTTTTTAATTTGACAAAACCACTTTTTTTTACGGGTGACAAATTATCTGATTTATTTCAAACAATAAAATAATTTATAATACTTTGTAAGACTTAGTAATTTATGAAATTAAATATTTTTCATAAAAAATTAATATCATAATTATTTACAAAATAATATTTAATTTTTTTATGTATCCGAATTCTCTAAAATAAGGGTGCGATAAAATCTCAAAAAAAAATCACAATAAGGGTCTATTCACTTAAGCTTAATTTTAGTTCACTTCAACTCCACTGAGTCCAGTTCAATTCACTTCACCTCTTAATTTCCTTCTCTCAATAAATATTCATTTCAGCTCAGTTCAGTTTAGTTCAGCTCAACTCATCTTAGTAAATGTGAACATGCCCTAATACGATATGTCAATTATGCAAAAATTTTTATTTAAATTTAAGTTTAATAAATAAGATTCATATTTTATTAAATTGTTTCAAACCTTAGTTGTATTAAAAGATTTTACTATGAATTTAATTCTTAGAGTATTATTATCAATTTTACACTTTTAATTAGTGAAAAATTGTCTTAAAAAATTGTGAAATATAACAAAATTTATTGATTCTCTTTTTATTACATATTTATTGAAATGAAACCTAAATTATTATTAAATAACAAATTAGCTAAATATGTATTTTGCTTACACTACAAAAAAAAAAGGTTAAATTATTATCAATAATGAAAAGTATCATATAGGAAATGATATCATTATAACTAAAAAAAATACTAGAAGGGTCCAAGTTTTTCAATTTTTCTAATTGGTTGTTTTTTATTTATTTTTTTGAATTTTTTTTATTGGTTTACTAAAAGGGTCCAAGTTTTTTAACTAATGGTCTAACTTTTTTGCACACAATTAATTAAATCTCACCGGAAAAACTATTCTAGACCCCAAAAAGGCAAACACTAAGGGCATGTTCTCATACGCTTATTTTCAGTTCAGTCAATTCAGTTCAGCTCTTAATTTCCTTATCTTATAAAATATTCATTTCAGTTCAGTTCTATTCAGCTCTAATAAGTCCAGTTTAGTTCAATTCAGTTCATATGAGTTCAGTCAATGAGAACAGACCCTTAGTAGAAAAAAAGTTAAACCCCCAACACAATATTTTCCAAAAAGTTGGACCCCAACTATGATCTTAACTAAATTTTTGTGCGAAAAGGCATATTTACGGTAAAATTGATTGAGATTGTAATCTATAATATTATTAAAACTCATGGGGACAATATGCTAACGACATGTGTCACCCGTATGCCACAAGTGCACACTGCACTACATGCATATGTCATCTTATTTATCATCCCTCTTTTCTCACCATATTGAATTGTATTAATGTTTAGTGTCTTAAACAAATTAAAAACTCTTTATTGATCTAACTTTAATGCTATATAATATTTATGAAAACCTTTTCATATTAACCTCTTATTATATTTTCATTTAGCTATTGATATTGTTCCATTAACTCTTCTAAATTAATTTTATCAAATTTATGAATTTATGATGATATGGGGCATCGCCTGGGTCAATAACTAGTTTTCTTTTTAAAACTTAGTTTCACTAATCAAACTTTTTTCCTCGTTGGTACTTAAATTTTGATCAATCAAAAATTGTATTTTGTTGAACAAAGTGTTTTTATATACTTCCTCTGTTTTTCTTTTATTGCACCATAAGGACTTTTACACTATTCACTTATCTTCTTTGACCATCATTTATGATTCATCCATTAGGAAAACATAGTCATGTGCTAGTTAGATTCGTGTTGAAATTTACTTTTTAAGTATCAAATTTTTATAATTTTTAAAAAAGTAAAATTGAAGATATTAATAGCTAAAGTAATGCATTGGGAAGTGTGAAATCCCTCATGGTGCAATAAAAAAAAGGAGGAAGTATGTGAAGTAGAATTTTGCAAACAAATATGACTATCTTATTCTTTCAAAAAAATATACTCCGATGAGTCTGATCCATACAATTTATATTTGCATAAATTATAAATTAACATAAATTTGCAAACCACAAAAAAAAAAAAAAAAAAAAAACACTCCGATGAGTCTGATCCAAAAAAATTATGAATTAACATAAATTTGCAATAAATAAAAATAATGTTAAATTTGTGTTACTCCGATGAGTCTGATCCATACAGTTTATATTTATGGTTTTTTCTACAAGTTTAAAACAATAGAATAGGAAAATTTGCGTGCTCAGAATAAACACAATTTTGTCTCTTTTATGGGGTGTTTGGTTCAAGCATATTAGGTATAAGGTATGGGTTTGGAATGACCAAAACCCATACCTTGTGTTTGTTTCTAGAAATTTCATTTTTCAAACCCATACCTCAAACCCCCAAGGTATGGGTTTTTGAAACCCAAGGGGGGAGGTGGGTATGACTCATACCCATACCTTTAGTTTAAAATTAAAAGGAAAACTATCATTCCTAGATAAAAACCAAACACATGAAATCAAGTATCAAGTTCCAATCCCATACCACCCAGGTTTCATTCCTCATTCCAAACCTATACCATTGTTTGAACCAAACGCCCCCTTGCTGAAATTAATCCTAAAACAATCCCAATTTTGAATTATTTTTTTTATAATCTGAACTTTAATTTGAATTTGCTTCTAGTGGTCTCACTTGAGTAGTGACCGGTTAGACAAGTAATTTTTTTGGGTTTAATATCACGTGTTACCACGTAATTGGTCATAAATTAAAATTTTTAAAAAATTGAATTCAAATGAAATCAATATCATTTTTTGGTAAAAAAATAGACCAAGCACTAAGCCAACCACCCTCTTCCCTAGCCCCACCCTCGAAACCACCCTAAACAAGGGGTGGTAAATGGTTGACGGGGAAGGGAAGGGAGGCAACATCAGGACGAAATAGGGAGAGGAGCTGGAATTTGGAATCCGTATGGGAAAGGGGGCCAAAACATGGAATGGAATGGAGGGGCCGATATCTAGACGGGGAAGAGAGGGGGGTTGCGATGGTGGAAGGGGGCAAGGGGATTTCCGAAGTGGCAGGGGAGGTTTCGGTGGTGGTAGGTCTGTCACTTTTTTTTTAATTTTTTTTTTTAATCAATCACGTGGTGACACGAGTTCAGTAACTTGTTATAACTAATTGGATGACTGGTTTTCCGT